GGTCCATCTTTCTCACAGGTATTTGACAATTACTTATGAGAGTGAATTTTATTATCTCAGTAAGCGGTATATTTTTAGAGAATAAGAAGTCAACAGCTAAAACTTCTTTTACATGACTTCAGTTCACACCACTCTGTCCAATGTCTCGTTCCAATTTTACCAGATGTCCCTGAAGGGACCACTCTGTGCAATGTGAGTAAAGTTAATCATTTACATCTTTTTGCAGGAGAATGTTGGATATATATTCTCCATTGGTTCAGTTGGTTCCCTTTTGGGGGCGGTACTCTATCAAAATGTTCTAAAGGATCATCCTTTCCGGGACTTGCTGTTCTGGACTCAACTGGTTTACAGTTTATCAGGAACGCTAGATTTGATGCTGGTCTTGCGATTGAATTTGAAATTTGGCATACCAGATTATTTCTTTGTTGTGATTGATGAAAGTGTATCTCAAATGACTGGAAGGCTCAAATGGATGCCTCTTCTTGTGCTTAGCTCAAAGCTTTGTCCTCCGGGAATCGAAGGAACTTTTTTTGCTCTGCTCATGTCAATCGATAATGTTGGACTTCTCTCAGCAACATGGGGAGGAGGCATCTTACTGCATGTATTGAAGGTTACACGGACACAATTTGATAATCTCTGGCTGGCCATTCTGATTAGGAACTTCTTGAGATTAGCTCCGCTTTGTCTGCTATTTTTGGTACCTAGAGTTGATCCCAACTCCTCCATTCTTCCAACTGAAATCTTGAATACAAAAGAGGATATTGAAACTCAAGAAACAGAGAACATTGAATTGGTCTCCCTTGTGAACAGAGTTGATGATAGATAGCCCAACAATATACCATTCACGTCAAAATCATCTTAGGTTTCGGAAACATACTTAGAAGACCAAGCCAAAGTTGCTTTAGGTTGTTACTTGAAAGAGTTATGATGAATGTACTATTGTTATATATTTTCGTTATTTGCCACATTTTTTCTTATTAATGGGAGAAGTATTTCATGGTAGTCCAACTTTATATAGTGAGATCCATTAAGTAGGTTTTCTTCTGTTTAACTTCTTGACACAGAATGTTGATGAGAGTTCACTACGGCGGGAACACTGTAAAAACAAAAGCCAAGACCGGATTTCGATAATTAAGTTAAAATAGGGTGTAAAGCAACTGTAAACCGTTTGGTCAAAGTCAACTCGTTCTATTACCTTGGGGCTAGCTACTACCAGGATTTTGATGCATCTTGAACTTGAAGTAATTGGTTTTCCTTTTCCTGATCTATTACTTTTCAGAAGGATAAATTAGACCATCATTGCAAAATTAATTTGAGAAAGCTATTGTCTTTGTGTTTGTATGTTTTTTTTTTTTTTTTTTTCTGTGTGTTGTATGTGCTGGAGGTTTTGTCAGCGGGTTCAAGGTTTTTTATTTAAGCAGAAACCAAAGCCAATATTAGAGGTTCTAAGTTTCACTTTGAAGAAACCCAGTTCGAGAAAATCTGAATCTTCAACTGGGTTCTTCATTTTCAAGCATAGTTCAGGAACACAGGTTCCCACAGTTCAGGAAACACTAATCTGTAAACTTGGTTGGTGTTGTTTTCTGAAAATCTGTATAGGAAAGTGAGTGATGATGGAGGAGGAGGAGGAGGAGGAGAGTCTTGATCCCTCTGCTAATATTGTGGAGGAAAATGAGCCCAAAAAGCGTGTTGTGGTGCTCTCTGCACGCCAATCCAATGGTTCAAAATGCTTTGTATGGAAATGCATTAGAGTTTTGTATGGGGGGTGATGGTTGTTTATGGACTAAGTCAAGGACTGGGTGGAGCTCTTTCTCGCGTGGGCACAGAATATTACATGAAGGATGTGCAGAAAGTGCAGCCTTCTGAAGCCCAATTTTATCAAGGAATTATTTATATTCCCCGGATTGTCAAGCCTATCTGGGGTCTCCTCACGGATGTTGTCCCAATTTTTGGGTATCGAAGACGGCCTTATTTCATTTATGCTGGTAAGTGATCCAGTATTAGTTTCCTGTTAGCTCAAAAGTAAAAAACTTTTAAGTTGGTTTTCAAGGTTGCATAGCGATTTTGGGATCCCATTGATATGTTTACATTCTGCCTTAAATGCCACAAGCTTTAGCTCCATTTTCGTAGTCGAATAGATGTGAATATCCCTTGACTTTTGTGCTTTTTTCAAAAAAGTCAGTACTTGCCATATGGTGTTTAGACCACATTGCCTTAAATGCCATCTGGGGGTTTTAGAAATTTCTTGCTGACATGGTTTCCTAACTAGCTGGTTCATGTTTTCTTGATGATAGATTCTGTGGGAGTGATCTCCATGCTCCTGTTATTGTTCCATGAAAAGCTGCACCTCGCATTTGCCGTCTTGTCATTAACAGGAAGAAGTGCTGGAGTAGCTGCAGCAGATGTCACCATAGATGCCTGTGAGGCACAGAACAGTATTAATCATCCTTCACTTGCACCTGATGTGCAAAGTCTGTTTGCCTTAAGTTCCTCCATTGGGGCATTAGTGGGATTCTCTGTTAGTGGTATCTTTGTTCATCTTATAGGCCCTAAGGTCAGCTTCTTTTGATTATAGCAGTTCAAAGCTTTGAAACTTTTCCTTTTCATATTTCAGTTGAAAAATATATTGTTTTCTTCCTCTTCTCTGGTAGGGAGTATACGGCTTGTTGGCAATCCCAGCTGGACTTGTATTTTTAGTTGGAACTCTTCTCAATGAACCTCATTCACCCAACTTCGCTTACACACAGGTAATAGTTTCGTTTACTCCTGTTGATTCTTGGTTCTTTTCATGCTAAATATCTCATATTCCATGCTGGGAGCAGGTCAGACAGAATTTAATTGATGCCAGAAAATCTATGTGGACAACATTGAAATGCCCTGATGTGTGGAGACCGTGCTTGTACATGTTGCATTGAGCTTGAACATCCTTGACGGAATGTTCTACTGGTATACAGACTCGAAGGACGGTCCATCTTTCTCTCAGGTATTTGGCAGTCGCTTATGAGAGTGAATTTAAGAAACTAAGATACGAGTATATTTTCCAATAAATAAATTCAACAATTCAAGTCTTTACGCAGGAGAATGTGGGATATATATTCTCTATAGGTTCAGTTGGGTCTCTTTTGGGGGCAGTACTCTATCAGTATGTTCTAAAGGATCATCCTTTCCGGGGGCTTGCTCTTCTGGACTCAGTTGCTTTATAGTTTATCAGGCTTGCTAGATTTGATGCTGGTGTTTGTGGGAACAAATATTATGGCTTCCAATCACAAGGCGCCATGTGGACAAGAATAATATTTCTAAATTAATTGAGCCCATTTATTTAACAAATTAATTGATACTAAAAATAAGGATATTATCTTAAATATGAGATATTACCTTTATTTAAAAAGATAATATCACCAAATTAAGATATTATCTAAAGTTGGAGACATCATCATCAATTAGTGATTTGATTAGTGATTTGATCCCAATTAAATCCCTAATTGACTCAATCTCTACAATTTGGGGAAAGAATAAGGAATATATTCTTTGAAAAACTCTAGATGCCTAGAGGCCTATAAATACATGGCTACATTCAACAAACAAGGCAATTCAATTTCTACTCAAAAAACCCTACACTTTCTCTCTCGCCGCTGCCCCTCTCTCCATATTTCCCTATCACAGCTCCGGCCACCTGTTTCAAGCGGATTTCAATTTTCCAAATGCAAATCACTTAAGCTAATTTTGAGAAGAAAGGCTATCTTTTTTTTTCTTTTTTCTTTTTTTCGTCTGAAACTGAAAATATTAATGACAATAATTCCTTTGAGAAATTTAGCAGAAAAATTTGTAGAAATTGTGAAAGTTGTAGGCTTTTGTTACCAATGCCTAAGGGTCTGAGCTCAGTTAGACCACATAAAGTTTAATTGTCTTGTTCAATCCACCAACTCACTCGAACAATGAAAAACCTCACATTGACAGATTTCTTTCTTGGGGTTTTTTGGGTGACCAAATGATGTAATTTTTAAAAATTAATGATGGTATTATGGGAATTGGGAAATTTTTATCAAAGTCTCTTTTCTGCTTGAAAAGTGACTCAGAGGCTTTGCTTTTAAAATATACAAATTTATAAATAAACCCAATCCTAGACATGTATTTATAAAAAAAACCCAAGCATTATTTAAACATAGAAACACACCCAAAATCAACCCCAAAGTCAACTTTTTGGGTGTGTTTATAAATGGGTTTTGAGTGTGTGTAATGATGGGTTTTGGGTGTGTTTATAAAGTGTTTTGGGTGTTGGGTTTTTTTATAATTTCAACCTCTATTTTGGGTGTTTTAGTGAAACTCCCTTTAAAATATCTGTAGGTGAGCCATCTTCCCACTGTTGCCGCGAGCATCCCAACTGGCATGAACAACTGAGGATATGGTATTGATATTGATCCCAACGTGTGGCCCGAGTGGATCCCATTGGTTTGTGAAAGTGTCAAACTCAACCATTACAATTTGGTTTTGGGATGCTTCAAAACGAGTGGTGCTGTTGAATAATCCTAGCTCACCACCAGCAGAGTTTGGTGGAATTGGATAGTGAACAGGGGCAATGAAAAAGGCAATTCCATCAGCAAACAAGGTTCTATTACGAGTGTCGACAACGAAAGAGAAATTAGTAGTGAAGTCTGCCAGTTTAGCAGAGTCCCATAAGTGCAAAGGTTCTGCATACGTAGCCCGGCCAGTGCGGAAATATATATATATATATATATCTGTGTCTGCGATCGTGCTGAGTTCAATCACTCCGAATGAAGAAGGCGCGGCATCACCTTCATAAATTATGTTGTTTGCATCTAGACCAAAGCGTTTGATGCTGAAGGAAAGTGGATGAACAAAGGGTTGGAAAAAATTGAAGAACATGAAGAGAACAATAGAGCAGTTTTTCAAGGATTGAAGACGGAAAGTTGATAGCCTGCTTAGAGACATCGCAATGCAACCAACAAGAACGTGAAAATCTGCAATGCAACGAATAATAGAAATGTACGTGGCAACTAAATGAAGAAGTCAGAATTATGAAGAGTGTAATGAAGACCAAGGATTGCCATGTTTTAAAGGGAAAGAAGCCTAAGACTTTGACATTCAAAACAAAAGCCCAAAGAAATTAAAATGGTCCGTGTTTTTTTCTTATATATATAAAAAAAAAGAATGATCCATGTTAGGTGAAATCAGTTGGAAAAACAACAGTTGTTTCGAAAGGCATGGGAGTCTTTGGGCGTATTTCATACGCAATTTCTTTTTTCTCAATTCAATTGCAGTCTCCGAAGTCCTTCTTGACTGTTTTGTTTTTTGTTTTTTCATGCTCTTTACAGAAAGACGAGGAAAGATTTGATGCAATACAACGAATTGATGGTACTTTAAAATTTAAGATTGGAACCTTCGGCATTGTCAAGTCATGACTTCACAGGTCCATTTATATTAGAAAGAATTTTGTGTGTATTATTGAAAATTTTGTAAAAAATTTAAGTATATTAAACGTGAAAAATAAGAACGTATTTGTATAAAATAAGTATTAAACGTGAAAATGCTAAATTCTTTATACGGGTAATAACTCTGAAAAAGTGAAAAGTCAAAAGAGGACAATAGAGACTCGGGTATTGACCTAATAGTAATGGTTAATGCTCTAAACTACTCTCATAGATACACAAAAATATGGGGAAAACAATTATATAAAAATAAAAAATAAACAATATAGCCGGTCGGCTATACTATTTATAAGAAATTTAAAAAAATTACACGACCCCAGTATAGCCGGTCGGCTGTAATCTTTTTTCAAATCCCAAGTATAGCCGCCCGGCTATACTCTTGGTTTTGAAAAGGGGGCGAGAACAGTATAGCCGAGAGGAGCCACAAGGAGTATAGCCGCGTGGCTATACGATTTCTTTATAATTACGAGAGCCATGGTATAGCCGAGTGGCTATCCTCTTCAGGTATATTATATTTAAAAGAGTATAACCGCTCGGCTATACTATTTATATAAAAAATTATTAAAAAAGACCTCAGTAAAGCCTCTCGGCTATACGCTTTTTAACAAAAAAAATCCCGGCTATACTCCTGCGGAGTTCTTCTTGGCTTCTAAATATGGAAGCTTATGATAATAATGAATCATTAAAATACTGTCACTTGTTCTATTGAAGTGCCCTTAATTTAAATAATCTAGTGTGTATTGTCTAAT